AAGGAGAACAATCCAAGTTTCCTCTGTCCCTATCCTAGTGGTTTCATGGGCGTCAGAATCATCTCCTGGCTGTCTTCTTTCCAGATACTAGAAACTATATTTTTATCAGAAAAACAGATGGGCAAGGCTCTGTCCCCATGGAGCTTACATTCTGGCAGGACTGTCTACCCTCTCTAGGTACATTACATTGGTCATTCCAGCTCTGGTGTCTCACCTAAAGTCAGGTGCCCATGCTTTGAACAAAGCACAGTAGAAACTCAATTATGACTATGTTTTCTGTTTTATTGCCAAAATCTTTTTGATGAAGCTTAGCACTTCCTGTCCTTTTTAATCTGCAACAAGTTGGGAAAACACTGTAAAAATATTTTTGAAGCCCTTTCCTGGATTTTCCCACCAAAAACCATTTTATGACAACTCTGTAATTCCCCCCCTAATACCTGACCTCATATTTGCCCACAAAGAAACACACCTGCAAATCTTCTGATGACTAACATATCCTGCTGCAGTTTCCCTGGAATAAATCCCTGTTGGTTAACTATTTCATAATTCAGAAGAGTGCACTATCATCTGTAAACCTAGAAATTCCACTGTGTATTCCTTCTTTTGGATCAATTATGTAAATAAGTCCTAAGGGACCCTAGTGTTTACTCACCTTCAAGCAGAGTAATCTTTATCTTTAGCCTGTATCTGTGGTCTTTCATGCAGGTAGATTCTAATGCCTGCTCTATGATTATGTGTGTAAGCTGCCACTAACCACATCACCTCCTTAGGCCTCAATTTCCTCTTCTACCAAATTCAAGCACTGATCATTTCCATCTATTAAAAATTCTCTCCTTCTACTCAAAACTGATACACTGCACACTTAATTCCAAGGTGACTTCAACTCTGATACAGCCTTTGAAAGTGTAAAAGGACAATTTCTAAGGATTTTCAAATATGTCCCCACACACGAAATCTCTTAAATTCACAAAACACCAGTTTTTACAGGAATATTTTCATCCAGAGAATACAGACAGGTTTCCCATGTCGGCCACGCACAGAAGTGAGAGCAAGCAGACTGCACCATCCAGACAGGCAACACGCCTGCAATGGACTGGGCACAATGGACATTCCTAACAAAGGAGGTTACGTGTGTTGGCTACGAAATCTGCAATTTTGTTTTAGCCCTCTCAACACTACTGGATGGTGACCACCTGAACCAAGTAATTTACTTAAATCTAGTGTGCTGGGCAGATCTAGAACATTTGGATAACCTAGCATTAAGTTACCAAGGACTTCTGTCCTATCTGCTTCAAAAGACATCCAAGGATGGTTGTTTCCTAACGTCTTCTCGTTGAAGATATGTGAAATCTGGTAAGTGTGACACCACACCGATGACATACTAAAGCTCACTTCTAGGAGAAAGGCCTGTCTCTAAGACCCCACCTCTCTCTCCTTCCCCAAAAGTAAATCTGTCACTAATTAAGTATTTCAGGCATTCTAGCAAAAAAAAAAAAAAAAGAAGAAGAAAAAAAAAAACTTAGCTTAAGTGGGAACAAACCTCATACATGGTTTATGCTAATACCAGTTATTACCCTATTTACCTCTTCACAAATTTCAAAAGCAACTCTGATTTGGCAAGCTTCAGATTTGCACAGAACATTAGCAATTCTCTTCCAGATGTCTAAATAGAATTACAAAGACCCCAGAGGATGGAGTACGGATTTCAGAAGCTTGCAACAGACTCAAATAATATCAAAAGGGCACTTCAGGTGCAAACATTAGCAACAACTGAACTCACTGTAGCTTGCCCACAAACACAAATTTCTCAGATGCCCTAAGCTCGGGGTTCATCAACCCCTGGAATTCCCCTCCATCACCCAGAACTCCCAGCTTTCAAATAGGACAAGCAGCGCCAAACAAAGTACTGGGTTTCATGAAGTATTAATATTAAGTGACTACAAAGCTTTTGGCAAAGTCATCCTCCACTCCTCTCTCATATGATTAGAAAGCAGAAGTAAGATTTTAAAATCTCAAAAGACTGGAAGACTGGACCAAAATAAATAGGACAGTACTGAACAGGGACAAAAACAAAACAAAAAACACCCACTCAGCTTCTCTCTCTCTCTCTCTCTCTCTCTCTATCTCTCACACACACACACACACACACACACACACACACACACTCACACTCACACAATGAACACAGGATGCAACAGCTAATATGACAAATACCTGGGAGTTCTGACTGTCCAGACCCTAAACATTAGTCTGTGCTGGGCTGTTCTGTAAGCTTAAGCTGCAAAAAGTAGATGTTTGTGCCTTGGTCTCAGAAAACAGCTGTCCTACTGTACTCTTTGTGGACCAGGTCAGGTCTCCATGACTATATTCAATTTCAGTCACCATAACTCTCCATAAAAGATGCTGACAAACTCAGGAGGCAGAAACCATGTCCCATGTAGAACTGTGAAAAGAATTAGGACTATTTTGCTTTGAGAAAATTTCATCAGCTGGAGTGGCAAGAAGGAAACATTATTCTGTCTTTGTGCCTTCGCAGGACTATCTGAGGAGGTGGGTCATTCCAAAGGAATAGAATCAACAGAACAAAGTTTCAGGGAAGCAGTCATCAGCTAATGATCACACACACAGTCCAAAGGCATGATGGCATGTCTGTAAGTAGAGAGGTCCCTGTATCTGGGGGTGTTTAAACAGATGATGCCTCACAAGTATGAGTTTACTAAATAAGTTAGACCAAGACTTCTCTAAAATGCCCAGTCTAATTCTGAGACTTCCCCATCTGCCAGGATCTCTCAAAAATGCCTTTTTCTCTGAATAGAAGTTGCCCAGATCCTAATCCGTTCAGGCCTGAGTGTAGCAGAAGTCCCCTCGATTGGCTTCCCAACTCACGGTCCTTCCTCACCTTTCAAAACCACCTCCCCCGAGGCCTGTTCTGAGATATAACTTCACTTCGCAGTGGCTTCTACCTTCCCTATCAAGGCAGAGTTTCTCGGCTTTGGCACTACTGACATTTTGGATGGGATCATTCCTTGTAGTGGGGAACATCCTGCACACTGCAGGATGTTTAGCAAGATTCAGAGTCTCTGATCACTAGGTGTCAGTAACGCTTGCCTCCTAGCTAGGACAAGCAAAAATACAACTGTGTCTGGATATCCCAAATGTCTGCTGGGAGGCAAAGTAACCCCGTGTCGAGAACCATGCTTCTTGAAGCAAATAATTAACACCACTGACTTGTGGTTCAAGTCTTCCACTAACTATATCCCCTCGACCTCCCTTCATCAGACATGTTCTCTGTTCCAGCCAGGCAAACCTATTTTTGACCCATGACACGCCTCAAAGCTTCCCCTAACACGTGTGCCCTCCCTCTTCCAGAAGACACAAACACTCCCAGCTGGCTCCAAACATCCTTTCCATCTCTGTATTCCTTGGCCTTCTAGACAAATGCAATCCCTTGCTTCTGGTGGTGGTCTCACATGGACCGTCTTACTTGCTTTCTATTAGTACAAGAATCCTCTCCTTGACTAAGGCACCCCAACACCCACTCAGGTTCTCTGCTTCCTGCTGGTACTCAATAAATATTGGCTGGACTTTTCAGAATGTCAATATCAGCTCCAATGATACATGAAAACACATGAAATCCCTTACCGACTGCCATTTCAAGAACACATGTGATCAGGAGCACAGGGGTTTGACAAAACTTTCATGTTTTCAGTTAGTACCAATTTAATACCTACAGTACTGAGATTGAATCAAGTCTGACTTCCAAAATACAGCTATCAAAATAATTTAACTATTGGGATATTAAAGACACAGCAAACTTTTTAAAAATAAAAAAAAGTTCTGAACAATGTAAAAACTAGGGGGAGAAGGTCAAGTTTTGACCAAGTTTTTAAAATTCTGTAAACCTTGGCTGAAAGAAAAAGATAGGAATATGGCTCAATACTTTCACTGTTGCATCACACACCACTCCACAGGATCATTAAGAGAACGGGGGACTGGGTCATGTAAGGACAGCTTCCTCTCCAACTTTCTAATGTGTTAGGTTTTAATCAACAAAGTATACACTCAGACGCCCTCAATAAAAATGAGATAAATCTAAGATAAAATGTTCAGATATATAAATAAACCATGCCAATTCAAGATTTTGGATTGCTTTTTTCCCAGCTCCATGATTACCTAATCATTTCATGGGCTGCTCCCTTACTAGCAGACAGAGACCAAACACTTTGTCGGCACCTTATTCTACCTGATGTTTATCTTCAGATCTTTCCTATCTTGTTCTTGTATTCTAACAGCGTTTTAGTCAGTGGGTGTAGAAGGCAGGAAAAGAGAGGATTCTCACCCTGCACTAGCTGATGGGAGGTGTCTGGTCAGTATTAACCAGCTGTAAAAATAAATGCTGCCTGAAGACCCCATTTATTGGGTATGGTGCAGAGTTCTTCCCACAGGTCTGTACCATGGCCCAGGAGGGGAAGATCTGAATCACAGTCATTCTTGGCACTTGGAAGCGCCCTTTGGTTGTTTACGAGGTAAACAGCCCTCCCCAGAACTGCAGACGGGAATTCCCTGGCTGCCCAGACTTCCAACCTCCAGCACAGAACACATAATAGGTGCTCAATAAAGGCAGCCTGACTAGCAAAGCTGCTAAAGAAAGTTTCCAGAAGTCAGCTCTCTCTTTACTCCTGAATCTCTTTCAAAATATGTCCTCAAAGCTTTCTTTGCTCAACAAGAAATATTTTTTTTTTCCCTAAGTCAAGAAGGAAAGGAGGAAATCCGCGAAACAGAAGGGATAAATGAGACCAAGGGGCTCAAGTTGGGCCTCATGGTCGGCTAGGGCTCCCCAGCACCTATTCGCCCTCCTTCTGCCCAGCTCCTGAGCACTCTAACCTCTCACCTCTGCACTTTTTCTTTCCTGAAACCCCACCTCCCCACCTTCTGACACAGACACCCCAACTGCGGATCCAAGTGGGGCCGCACATCCCACCACTCCATCAGGGACCTACCTCTCCTCCCCTCGACCTGGGGCAGCTCTTCTTTACTGCAGCTTGCTTTTTAAGAAACTAAAAAAACTCATCCCTTTATCCGCGAGGGATACCCCCAAATAAAGGGGGGAGAGAAACAGGAAGGCCCCTATGAACCCTCCAGGCAGCGGAGGTGTGATTCTCTGAGCAGCCACCCCCAATCCTCCTCCTTTCCAAGCCCCTGCAAGGGATTCGCGCAGAAGTCCGGCTCCCAACTGCCCACGCTTCCAAACAAGCTAGAAGCGGATTATACCGGTACCCAACCCGGAGATGGCCCGCGGCGGGCTGGGTGCACCTGCGGGCCCCCGGCTCCCTCCCCCTCGCGCTGGGGGCGGGGCGCGCCAACACTTCCCAGCCCAGCCCACCCCGCGCGGGAAGGAGGCGGGAGGGGAGGCGTTTCTGGAGAAGTTGAAGGGCTCACCTTCTGGGCAGCGGGCCAGCGAGGCCAGACACCAAACACCCACCTCCGGGAAGAATCAGCGGAGCCGTAACCGGGTCTCCCCGCCCTTCCGATGGGGCGGAGGGAGGCGAGAGAAGGGAGCGCGCGTGGCGGGGAGCCGGACAGAGGCGGTCGCAGGCCGGCACGGTCCTCCTACGGGGCCCACTCCGCGGCCCCGGAGCCCGCCGCTCAGATTGCCGAAAGCGGAACGATCTTCGGGGACCGAGGCTAGCGCTCGGCCCGGCCCGCTGGCCGCCCGCGTCCCCCAGCCCGCGAGGTCCCAGCCACAGCCTCCGCTCGGGCCGCGGCGCCGCGGGGCAGGTCGCCGGCGCCGGGGTGGCGCGTGTCGGCTGCGGCGCGGCTCCACCGGCACAGTCCCCGGCCCCTGCCCGGGAGAGGCGCGCACCAACCTTGGGGGGCAGCCCGGGCAGCTTTGGCCGCCTAGCCCCGGCTTAGGCGGAGGCGGGAGGTGGCGGCATCACCTGCGGCGTGCGGCTACTGCTGCTCCCGGACGCGCCGGGGCGGCGGAGGCGCGCGGCGCCCTGCACCCTGCTCCCGCGGCCCCGCCCGCGGCTGCCACCTCGAAGCGCGGCGGAGGAGCCGGGGCACCACGGGCGGCGGCAGCGGCGGCGACGGGAGCAGCAGCACATGACTCTGTTACGGGGGGAATTAGACAAAGCGTAACATGGACTCCGGGCCCGTGCAGGCGCTGCAGCTTCGGGACCAACCGCAGCCGGCGAGCGCCGCCACTGGCTCGGCCGCAGCCAATGGGGGCGGGCCCGGGCCTCCATGTGATGGCGAGCTCTCTTCCCCCGCGGCTCTCCGGTGCCTGCCGGGGGTCGGGACGCTTCCGCCGCCGGGCGGGCTGACCGGAGGGGAGGGGCGGCGAGTTCGGGGGCCCGGGGTCGGGCACTGGCGGCGGGAGGCCGCGGCGCCGCGCGCAGGTGCACCCGGCGGGGTGGGGGCGGCCGCCGAAGCCCGCCGTCCCCCCAGCTGCTCATCAGTGAAATGCCCACCTGGGCCGGGCACGATGCCCGCGCCCAATGTCGCCAGGCGGGCGAGAGTCCATCTCAGGAACCTTCACCCTTCCTGGGGCTATCCTGTCAACTGGACAATAAGACGGGTGTGGGGCTGGGATATGCCATGAAATGATAGGGGGAAATTCGCCGAAAAGTCATTTCAGCGGCTTCCAACTGTCCTTACCTGGGATATAGGGCACACACAACTTAATCTTGGCGCGAATAGCTTTCCTGCCTAATTTGTTCTGTCTCTTCTATTGAAGATGCAAGAGAGAGTCACTTATTGTTTTTTATCTTGAGTCTGATCTCCCCGACTCCCCCCACCCCATTCTTTTTTGCCAAAAATGTCCTGTATCTGAAGAGGCAGATGAAAGTTTGTCCTTCACTAAACTGTGTTTCCCAACCTGATAGTTTTTCCTCTTGTTTTTGTTGTAAGATCAAAGTATATTTGAAGTCTTTTTTCATGGGTGGGGAGAAGCAGGAGTCAAGAAATAACGTCACAAGGGATGTTTGGAAGTGTTGGTTTTTAACATGGCAGATAGTTCCAGCCCAGTGTTACAATATCTCCTTTTATCTGAATCTACCGGTTTCCATGAACGTGAGTCTATGTGCTCAGTCGTGTTTGACTCTGTGCAACACACCGGACTGTAGCCCACCAGGCTCTGTCTATGGGCTTCTACAGGCAAGAATACTGGAGTGGATTGCCATTTCCTTCTCCAGGGTATCTTCCTGACCCAGGGATCACACCTGTGTCTCCCGCATTGCAGGCAGATTCTTTACCGGCTGAGCCCCATGAAAAATGGGAAATCTCATCTCTTCTACCAAGATATCTCCATTGTCAGTGAATATTCAATCAACATTTGCTAAGCATCTAAACGTTCTTCATAAGCATGCTGCAAAAATGTTACAGGTACTCAGGAAGGTACCCACTGTACCTGTGGGTTCAGGTACAGTGAGAAAGTAGAGATTCGTTTTCAGGGTTTCAGGGAAGACTTCAGAGACAAGGGAGTAGAACTGACCCTCAGAGAGTGAGCACTTGTACCCCTGACCCTGGAAGTAAAGAAGAGCAGCCCTGAGGCTGAGTGTGAACAGAGTTCCAGCACACACTCAAGAGACAGTCCTAGACTACTTACAAGATGACACTAGATTTTGAGCCTTTCTCACCTCTTGCTCGCTCACTTCCCTTGTTCTGTCCTATGTGCCAACAGCCTCTCCTGTCCACACACCCAGCCAAGAAGGAGGTGTGTAGGCAGGAGCTGTGTGTCCCGTGATCTAATTACAGTACCAGATTCGCTGATCTGGGAGATTGGTGCTGTTTTAAAATTGTTAACGTCTAGTGGTGTGATATTTTGATGGAAAACACCTCACTACTATGATTAATTTGGAATGTTTTGCTGTTTGTAAAAACTCTTTTCCACGTTCTGATTTTCCCTGAGTTTTAAAGTTTGATTTTAGACTTGAGAGAACTGTGATTTCAAGAATGGGATCAATTGAGAAAGGAAAAAAGTAGTACTCAAAAAACAAATGTAGAGAAACAGGCACATGTTCTCATGAATGTGAGTGTTAATTGGGTAAATCAATTTAGAGGACAATTTAGCAATTTTGGATGGAATTAGTATGTGAGGGATTTTTTTGACCAGGCAGTTTCACCTCTAGGAATTTCTGCTTTGGCCATATGTGTGCAAAAACCATGTATTGCAGAAGCATTTACAAGCATGTAGAAAGTTGTATGTACAGGTGTATTTATTGCAGTATTGTTTATGACAGGAAACATAGAAGGGTGAGTAAGTTTAATAACAAAATCCCAGTAGGGGACTGGTTAAGCAGTTTTAACCTGTTTTATAAAAATTGGAGACCTATTTGTACTAAACTGAAAGAATGCCCAAAATCTATACATGAAAAAAGCAAGTTGCAGAACAATATGAATAGTATGATACCATTTATAAGCATATTTTGTCAAAAATATACATGTTATTAAATGTATGCTTAGGGAAAATCGGGAAGCATATATAACGAGCAGTTAACAGTGGTTTTCTCTGGATGTGAGATTATTAGGGTCATTGCTTTCTGTTACAAGTTTCTGTATGCTTGAATTGTTTTTATGTTGAGTACCTATTACTCTAATAAGAAAATAATAAAAAAAATTAAGATAAAATTGCTAAGAGCTGTACCAATGACAATAAGGATCACTCTGAGGATCTAGGAAGCAAAAAGTGTTGACTTCCCCTACTCCCCAAGAAAAACAAGTAGGACGCAGCAAAGGATGCTAACTGACTTGACTTTGGATTGAAAATGAAGAAATATGATAGAAGAGGCATCTGAGGCTGTTCAAGGCCTGTCAACAGGGATCAAGTGGGAGAAACATAATAAGGCTTCAAGGAAGTTCTAGTCAACAGAGACTTAAGAACACTTACTGTCCTTTGTTGAGTTATGGTCACAAATTGGCAACTGTTTCAACACTTGTTAAATCCAAATCATACAAATCATGACTACAGCCAACATAGTGCTTGTGATGGGCCAGGCTCTGCTCTGAGGACTGTGCATATGTCCACTTTTAGTCCTTGCAGAAACCTTATGAGAGAAATACTATCCTCATTTTTTTTTTTTCCTCTAGGAAGGGGGACTTCCCAGGTGGCGTTAGTGGTAAAGAACCTGCCTGCCAATGCAGGTAGACATAAGACATGTAGGTTCCATCCCTGGGTTGGGAAGATTGCCTGGAGGAGTGCACAGCAACCCACTTTAGTATTCTCGCCTGGAGAATCCCATGAACAGCCCATAGGGCCCCATGGAGTCCGACACAACTGAAGCGACGAAGCACGTGTCCTCATTTTTTAGAGAGGCCTGGAGGAGTTTATAAGCAGTTCGAGATCACACAGCCTTCAAGTGACCTTGCTAGATTTTTAAGCCCAGTGGCCTGACTCTAGAGATAGAAACACGATACTGAAGACCACATAAGATAAAGGTATTTATATGTGTGCCTTATTCTACCAAGTCATGTAATTCTAAGTTGATTTGAGTTTAGTAGTATTTGGAACAGAGAAGGCAATGGCACCTCACTCCAGTACTCTTGCCTGGAAAATTCCACGGACGGAGGAGCCTGGTAGGCTACAGTCCACTGGGTGGAGAAGAGTCAGACATGACTGAGCGACTTCACTTTCACTTTTCACTTTAATGCATTGGAGAAGGAAATGGCAACCCACTCCAGTGTTCTTGCCTAGAGAATCCCAGGGATGGGGTCGCACTGAGTCGGACATGACTGAAGTGACTTAGCAGTAGCAGCAGTATTTGGAATGCCCTAAGGCACTCAATAATACTGATTGAATGAGTGAATGAATGAGTTTCCTACTAAAGAAGAATTAGAACTCCTTGGAGGAGTGATTTTGCATTGTTTCCATGTGTGTCACCTAGTAGAGTGCCCAACATGTGGTAAGCGATATGAATTTCAGTAATCTGTAAACATGTTTTTGAAACGTTGTGCAGAAATCAACCTTTATAAATTTATCCCAAATACACCAGAGCAGCTTATGAATCATATCATGATGAATTCCTCATAGAGTGAAGAATAGCCCTGAAGGGATAGAGCTAAATCTGCTTGTACCTGTATAACCATACACAAATAAATGGGGAATATATTTGCTTGGAAAGTGGCAGTAACGCTGGAGAGCTACGGAATTTCAAGTTATGTGAGTCTCTCTGTCTTTCTCTTGCCTCTCTTAGTTTCTGAAGGAGATAATAACACCTATATTCAGATAGTGTGAGACCAAGGATTCATTCACATATGGAAAAGGCTTAG